GAAATATTGCATGATACTTTGAAGTAACTATCTAAACTTATTGCTATAATTATGAAATCTCGGATAAACAATGAAGGGAATTAAAAAGTAGAAAGTAATAGTTAGTACTTCTATTCGCCTTAATTGATACAGCTTTAGAAATAGCTTACAACATCAGATATAATTTACTACCAGTTTACAGGCATATTAAATTATAAATCACCTGCAGAAATTTCGCTGTCTATGCCTTAGATGATCAGAAAGTTTTGCTATTTATAGGGCACAGCTCACAGCTCACAGCTGGTTCTTCGTGATATAAACGAATAAGATTTCCTTTATACGAATATCTATTAGCCTAGCAAAAACTTTCTCATAATACTTCTTGAGGAGAATATATTATATTCGTAAGTAAATATTAAATAACTAGAAAATAACTTTACTCTAGTGTAATTAATTGCAAATTTTCAGAAAATTTCAGAAGATATTATTACTTTAATGCATGTATTGTCGTTATATTCAAGATTTAGAGAACTGTCTAGCTACATCATACTGTACTTAGCTACTTAAATTTAGAAGAATTTAATATATACAGTACGCATTATTATCTTGAAATTGTCCATTTATAAGGTATTTATCAATATAGCAATCACAAACCTCCAGAAGTCATTTATAGCCTATATTACTGGTTAATATCGTCTATGAACTACATGATAAGTGAATTAAGCTATCGGGTATTGATCGGTTTCTTAGCATTTAACATGCTAATAGTTACGTGTATTGAAAAATCCGAAAGATAAAGCCAAAATACTATGCTAGCACTTTACGTAATTATTTGTCTGGAGGATTATTTATTGGTACAATAGTAATTTGCAATCTTCAGTATATCCTGAAATATATCATTAATATTGTTGATTTAAAAACGTAAATAACTTAATACATAATTAGTTGATTAGTATACATTTAATAAAAGCGATTAATTTATACATGCTCTATCATAGCAATTTGCACAACAATATTCGATCGTACTTTCATGTTATTGATTGTAGTATATTTAGAATATACTGTAACTATATTCTACTCTTAAATATAGACATGTTGTATTGATCTTATATTTAGACATATCTACAGTCTGTTTGCTCTACATTCAAATATGGCCTACTACATTTAGTTATTACAGTCCTCGCTATTTTCTACAATCATCTGCTATTCTATAACCTGTTATGGTATATGTTGTATCTAATCCTACAATCATGTTCTCTGCATGTGTTTTAATGCCATAGCTATAAATACTGCCATTTTCTGCCTTAGATTTCTTAAGTTGCATTATTAGTCACAGTAAGTATTCACACTTTACTTACGGCAGCTACCACGCCGACCTACCGTAATTATCACATTGTACCTAACTATTCTTAAGCTCTTTGTGCAATTCTCTGCATGGCAACTGAAACCACATTATCTGACTCTTTGAACACTCCATCACATTGATTCACAAAGATAAGTAGAGAATTACTACAAATATGTAGTCTTAAACTAGTAATATTAGAATGCCAAATGATATATGAACGACATTCTGCTTTAAAGGTATCAACAAAATACCAAAAACTTAGCTGGCAGTATCTTTCCCTTTACTATACTATAGATATACAAGTATCACCTATTTCTACACTAAATAAGGAAAAGGGTAACAGTTTCAATAAACATATTGTTCAATGATTAGATATCTAGATATTGCATCAAATCAATAAACAATAAATCATTTAAACGCGTGTTCTATTAATTATTTCAAATGCTTATGAGCCGACATCTAGTTTACAGAAAATTACTATCCAACTTCTGGTAACCAACTATAAAGTACCTGGATAACAATACAAAAATTCATGAATAGCAAGCAGCTTACATTACTAAGTGCTTAGAGGTATACACTAATAAAAGTCTTGTAGATCCAACCTTATTAAAATAAATGAGCAGCAATAAATTTACTGTATTGGAACTCGTTTATTAATATTACTGAGAAAAATATTGATAGGCAATTATTCTTTTTACTATGGAAGTAGATTATATTTTTAAGTGATGGAAATTATCACAAATTAGTAATTGCCCAATTTGTAGAGAAATTGAAGCAAGCATTAAATAAAGCATATTATTGACACATTCCTATTTAGACCTACATCATTTTAATCAATAGAGCATTAAAACTTGATCAATTAGTTCGAAGCCAATCATTTCTGTACCATCAACTTTGGCACAAGTTATAAATTTTACATGAAAAACGTAAAGTATATAAATATTATCAATAAAAATTGCTTAATATTAATGACATGCTTTCATTCACAATTATAAAGTAAACTTTGGCCTATTCCAAGAAATAGACTACATTAACTACACGAATTGGATTACAATCATTTACTTAGAAGGTTTTTAACTATAGAAATCATCTCATGAGATGTAATCAAATTACACAAATAACATCTATTTTAAATAATAAATGAAGGAATTTGTTTATAATATTCATGCTAAGATTTTAGAAAATACTATTTAGTCTCTCCAACATGAATAACTTATTACCAGCTCGATAACGTCATAATATGATATTATTTATCGACCCTATTCGGTTATAATGTCATCTGCTATGTGTAGCTGATCTTGTTATATATATTGATATTATATGAGCATTAATAGTTGCAAAGAAATAATGTTACTGCAGCCTAAACCTAATTAAAAGTTGATTTATTTTGAAACCTCAAGAGAATGTTGCTATTAATTACCGTATAGTAGAACATTCTGCTATTAAGGTCAATAGCATTCCTCTATCACTATTTACTAGAGATTGCATATGAAGTTGCATTTATCACAAAATAATGATCCAGTAATGATATCATAATCTAGAATTATTAATATGTATTGGTACATTCAAAAAACCTAAAAGAGCTGTTAAAAATAACTAGTTATGAATTCTAACGGTAGCGTAATAGTAGAGATCGAGTAAATTTAAATTTATCGTACGAAATATTGAAAACTGTTTAGCATCATTTTATCATTATTTCCATTAATCTTAGTTGCCATGCTATAAACCGATTCACAGGAAATGTAGACTTATTAAATCGTTATCCTTAAAGTAATTCTATCTTAGATATACCAGTTTTGATCATCTTGTATTAATAAATAGTTCATATAATTTACCAAGAAAGAACTGGATTAGTCTAAATATTGACCATTATTAAAAAGCTTTTTTGTTATTTTTCTATTGATAAAAATTTAAAATTCAATTAGTAATAGCTATAGTTCTACCTAGTGTATTTGACCTTCTAAACGTCATTTCACCTTCACCTCAAACTCTTACATAGTTTAATATAAATCAATGACTATTATTGTTTACATTGGACATAGTTTTTACTTATGACATGGTTATTGTGATCAAAAATTTAATGTTTTATCTCATTTCAAATGTGCTAAAATGAAGTAAGCTTATTTCTGTTTCCATCTAAAGCCTGTATATCAACTAATAAATGAATTAAAACTAAATTTCTATCGGCTTAGATATCGACTGATTCACTTATCGGGCGATATTCTCACATTTTTTATGTTTTTCATTAAAGTAAAGCTTAGCTAAGATCTGGTACTATTATCTAATCTTAACATTATAGTTATTTGAACACCAGTTCGAGACTAAATGTTATGAATTTCATGCAGTAACTTTACGACATATTCACTTAACTTGATTCCATAATTCCAAAGCGAATAATTAAGTAAAAAATTATCAGAAGATAGCCTATGAAACTATCCAGCTTTTGAATTGCTTCTAATAAATTCTCACGTACATAAACAAGGTATTGTATAGTATTAAAGTTTTATCAGATGTATAATTTATAGCATAGCTACGTAGGAGTGCTATAGACATATGGTATAAGGCTTTATACATGGCAAATTCACTCGTTCTAATGCTAAAAAAAGCCTTGTAAATGCAACCTTAAATATTACAATAATGGAATAATTCCTAGGAGATATTAATAGCAATCTTAATAGCTAATATGTATCCCACTGTAAGTTCATCATTCACGATAAAAATTTCGTCAATAACCATTATGGATCTATCTACTTCATTCATATTTTGAGTGATTATCATACCTAACCTAGTCTAAAAAGGAATTTACTCTGTTGCTATAGCTATCTACACTCAAATAATAAGGAGTATTGCTCCATGTTTAAGGTATGCTGTAAATTTACTTGAGCTCGTAATTTACTAGTCTTAAATAATCTTGCTATCAATTGGCATAGTCGTGATGATAACACCATCGCATACGTATAGTGCTACATTCATAACTAAGATCATTTGCTAATACGTATAGACTCGTTTTATAAACAACGCTATGTAAATATTTTTTTGTTATTAAAAGAATTATAAAATAATCATAGAATGCTAATTTACGTATATATTGATTCTGTATATGCTGCATAATCATCCTATTCAAGATAATTCAGAAACCTTTTCTACAATTACGACTTGGTGTTCATATGGAGTAGAGGACAGTCTAGCATAGCAACTGATAACTCGCAGTACTACGGACAGCGAATTGAAAGTTGCTAACATGTTGATTACGTTTTAGATTTCAAGGATAAAAATTCAGATCATTTTTAACCGAATCAGTAAATGGTTAATGTCGATATATAAATTTTGTTCGTGTTCTATTATTAGCAAGATTTTGACTAGAAAACGTGAAAAATTAGTAAGGCCTCCTCGTTTACGTATGCACATGCAGTACACATGTACATCCGGTACGTTTTTACCACTTCTTGAGCCGCTTCAAACAATTAAACTCTATCAATTAGTTAATTTTAAATTAAGTTGATTTCACTAGTAAACAAGAGCATGCTAACGAAAAATTAGAGACGCCATTCCAAATATCTATGTTAGTGTATTTTATTAAATACTGCTTATTTGCATCACACAATTCATGAAATTTAAGTCTTTAAAATGTATTATACTCAGTAAGTTCACTACTTACAAAACAATTACGAGAATTTTATTGCTGTTGTTGCATCTCTATCTGTTATGTTAAATAAAGCATCTCAAATATCTTATTAGTTAATGCTGTTATGCTGATCAATTTCTTAATTACATAAAACCTCTTTTAAATATATGCTAATGGTTTCGTTGATATGACGTAATGTAAGGAAGTTACCAAGTGATCTGTGTAAATAAATGATAGCCTTACGGTTAAGTTATTCTTTCTAAGCAATCTGATGCAATTATAGCTTAAAATTTATTTTCAAATATACTGTAGAACATGCGCCAGATTAAATTTTAGTAAAAATTAAATAAAAAAGGACAAGAAATAGCTATTGCAACAAGCAGTGTTTATAGTTTACGCTTTACCAAAGGAAGCAACAACACTTTGGCATTGGTACTATTACATTCAATTCATGACTACTTTATCTACTAATTCCAATGAAATAATAAGAGAAATGGAATCTTAAATATGATAGCACATCGTGTAATTTCATGCATAGCTGCAAAGTAAATATAACATTAAAAAAGATCGAACTGATTGGCCACGTAAGAAAGTTCCCACAGACAGAATTAATTAAGCTCGAGATAATAAGCATAAAGTGTTATATGGAATATAAATATCACCTACAATTATTATATAGGCAAGGCTAAACAATTATCAACTGCGGAAACAGATTAAATATTCTGAAATAACAAAGCAGAATTCACATTATCCATGCATGATGCTTACAATGCTGTATACATCATATCAGCTACCTAGGCTATGAATTGACAACCTGTGTCTCCCTTGTTACAAATGTAGATAATTTCGTTTAGAAAAGAAGTAGTTATCAATTTAAAATCAGGCTTCTTTACCAGTTTCGTCAATTTTGTTATAAATAGACCAATATCAATACTTATTTCAACGCTTTCTTTTCATTCGGCGCAAATATGTCAATTATACAATATTAGTATTTTTAGTATTATGAGCAAATGACTTTCGATACTCTATTACGTACAATGCTCAAATTAATCACTAATACTCAGATTAACAGATTTCACGCATCAAAGTTCTATTTCGAAGTTAAAAGTGCCATACTGATTAAGTTTCAATCTCTAAAAAAGTCCTCAAAAATGCATAGCCAATAATTGTAAAAGCTATTTTAGGTCAAAATAATAGAAACCTATTACATATGGTCTCTTTACTGATACTATGGTAACAATTACTATCATAAATAGATATATATAGATGTATCGTTACAGCTATCAAACGCAAGATTCATAGACAATTGAATTCTTGACCTAAGTAAGACGTAAGGACGTATGTAAATGTCAAACGTTTATTAAACAAAAGTCAACACCGTGCATGAAATTATTATCCTTACTTTTCTCTGATGACCCTTAAATGAGAAGTCCTTTTCTGAAATAACGCTTGACATGATCTCTTTGTCTGCTTCCTCAGATGTTTCACGACTGTTATGATAGCGTTCAGCCTGTATTCGTAGATTTCTACTCTCTTCATTGCCTGTCTCAGTTACCAACTTGTTAAAATAGCCATTCATTTGCAGTAGATTATGAGGTGAATCAAATTCAACAATTCTACCTTCTTCCAACACCTTTTAAGAAAATTTTTAACAGTGAACCACAATAAAAATTTATTCGTGGTAATGGTGTAAAATATATTTCATTTACCAGTACTCGGTTACAATGTATTATTGTCCTTAGGCGATGAGCAATGATGAGCATAGTGCAATCAGTAAACTTATTTCGGATTGTATGCTGAATAATTGTATCAGTTCTAAGCGAAAATTTAGTTTCAATATGATAAAAACAATTAGAAAGTTGATATTTTTATCACTTGGACAACAAAATAAACATTTATTGGTCAGTCTAATACATTCATATAAGTAATTAGCGAAGATCAACGAAAACTTATTATTTACTTCATATCTACGTTAGCTGTCGCTTCGTCAATACATAATATACGATTCTTCTTGAGAAGTGCTCTTGCTAGACATAATAATTGCCTTTGGCCTACACTAAAATTTGCTCCAAACTCAGTCACTTCATTATTCAATTTATTAGGCAGTTGACTAACGTAATTTCCCATCTCGACCTAGAGAGTGTTTTGATAGAGAGCGTTTTGATAGATGTGTAAGGAAAACATATTTACTTCGCTATTCTCCTGCGCGGACAAAACTTACGTTATACATATAAAGAATCAAAAACACTAGAATAAACCTCATGAAGCGCTTTCCATAGTTGTTCATCATCGTAGGAATCAAATGGATCTAGATTTTTTCGGATAGTACCAACAAATAACACTGGATCCTGAAATCGAAAACATATCAGAATTTTGCGGGATCACGCGTTAAAATCTTCTTATACTAATAATTCATATTGCATATACTTGCATTGATGAATTAGCAGCTGATGGTAGCTAATTTTACCTGTGGTATGACTGATATCGCACTTCGTAAGCAATGCAATCCTATGTTATTAGCTACTACGTTATCAATTAAAATCTCCCCTCGCGGCTCAGATAGTCTAAATAGAGATGCTAGAAATGAAGATTTTCCAGCGCCAGTACGTCCAACGATTCCAACCTACAAGTATTCAAATTTGTTACAGACTAATTATAGTTTGTATAAGACATGTGAGTACTAGAATTAGGTATATTAAATACAGACAGGAATCTTTACTCAAATGTTAGCTCATATTGATGTGATTGACATTATAGTTCAATAATATAATGTAATACTAATAGAAGAGAATTAAAATTGAATTAATAAATCACCTTCTCAAATGGTTTGATTTTACATGATATGGACTTGAGAACATAGGGTAAGTGATCCGCGTGAGCAAATGAGACGTCCTTAAATTCAATTTTACCAAATTTTGGCCAATCACTTGATAGATCACTTATCTTATAGTAATCCTTCTCTTTAGGCAATTTAGTATATTCTTTAACGCGCTCAACTGATGTCATCTATAAAAGCAATAATAATATAAATAATAAAGTACCTAGTTAGCTTTAGGCCGCCTCAATGGTCCCATACTGTCAATATTGTTTAGGATAGCGTGATCGATTACAGAATGGAATACAAACCAACAAAGTATCTTAATTTACCCATGCTATTTAAACTCAGTAGGCTAGTTTAATCAATCTATTACTTAATACCTGATTTTCCAATTCGGCACTGAATCTCACTGCCCAATCTACCAATCCTTGAGAGTTAAGAGCATAACTCAGAAGTAATGCTGCTAGTGCTGGATTAATATCTAACAATGGATTAAAGAATTGCACAATTATCAGTTTTACCAAAATGCTGCCGTAGGAATATTGTCCTATAGTTGTCGTATAATTAAAATTTGCTCTAACATCCTTTCGGTAAAATGACGAGGCCAAAAGATACACCAGCTACAAGAATCCAGCATAAAAAGTCGATATGGAATGCATTCCATCGAATCGAAGCCGTAAATATAATCCATGACTGACTGTGTCTATCTGTGTATTCTTTAAATTGTTGTAAGAATCTATTGCTGGCTTTATAAGCTCTGAGAGTAGTTAGGCCTTGCAGTGTTGTAGACATATGGCTATATATTGGACTGCTTCCTATTAAAATATCGCAGTTTACAGATTTGTTTAGAAAAGAAGTGCTAGACTTACTATAGCTCGAGATATTGTAGTAGTTTTTCACAGTCTAACGAAAATGTTACTATAGCACTCATTTACTATATGCATATTTCCCAATTGTAACAGACCTGCTGCCTCTAGTCGCTTAACATCTCTTGATAAATATAAATAGTACCGTCTTAGGAAGATAAAAATTACAGAGACCACCGTGATGGGAATCAACATCCAAGGATTTACAACACTCATCATCACAAGTTGACCAATCACTACCAGGAAACACTGAAACATGCAAATAGAATAAGGCTTATTGATTAAAAGAACTTACATGAGAAGTAAGAACAGCAAGTAAATATCTTTAAAAATTACGCTTGAAGCTTTTAGAGTCGATTATGAGATAAATTAAATAAAATCAATATGATAGCCAAACCTGAATAGTGAACAATAGACTATATCCAATTTGATCATCCATCTGCGCACAGTCTTTCGAAAATCTGTTCAATATTCTTCCTGTAAATTCAAGAACGATATCGTTTTATAACGGCAAGGCTTCTAGACTATTGTATTTATTAATATCAGTGAGTTATTAGTCGAATAAACACTAAAATCATTTATTGGAAAAATGAAATCGATAGTTAGCAATATCTAGATTCGCAAACATAAAAGAGCGCTTAGCAAGAGGTATAAGTTGCATTTAATAACGACCAATTACCTGCAGGATAAACATCAAAAATGTGTATTACTGTTTGTAACATTGAGTGAAACAATTTACTCTCGAAGTGTTCAGACGCCTTTATAGCAATTTTAGCTATTGTCCATGATCTTAAAGATATTAATATAGTGGCAAAGACCAGTATCCCCGCGTATATGGCTATAACATTAACATTAGATAGTCCAAATAAAAGCACGGTATTTGATTCGACTGAGCCATTAATTAATGAAGAAGCATTTTGGTATGTAAACGACCACTGTGAAAACCACCAATCAGCAGCGTTCACTGAAGCTTGACTTATTAGAAATAAGGCGCATGCCAAGACTGCCGGTATTATTCCAGAGACCGAAACGAGGTAATCTGCATAAAGTTTCCATGGGACGCTTCCTGTCATGCGAGCTTCTTCCTCAATGATTTTCATCTGCCACCATCGTAATAAAAAATTCGATTAATGAATCGTTGTATTTTAATTTATGTATTTATAATTGCACAAACCGTATCATTTGAAGTCATTTGATTTGGTAACTTTCCTGAAAATTCTGGAATATCCATATTTACCCTTTAAAATAGTACAAATTGCTTACATAAAACGGCCTACTATATGTCAGTGTAAGTAGGCATATAAATTCAATAGCTATTTCTATAATACTCAGGTTGTTGGTTATCGATATTTTTTGCTGATTGTTCTTCGGTAGTTTTGGAAAAAAATTCGGATTTTGCTTGCAGATTTTCAAAAGTATCTATATATTTTATGGATCCATCCTTCAAGACAATAATTTTATTCGCAGATCTTAAGTGATGCAATTGATGAGTCACTAATATACGAGTTTTATTCTTGAGTATGCCACAGATACACCTAAGTAAAGTTAATAATTAAACAGATTGTTAATTTTTTTAGCAAGAAAATGAAATTGGGTACTGCATAGCAGTTATTCTGCAATACGCCTGAGCTTACTTCTGATAGATGTGCTTAGCAACATTCGCATCAACAGCACTTAGAGGATCATCAAGCAAGTAAATATCAGCGTCATAGTAAACAGCTCTAGCACAAAACAGAAATGATTACAGATATATCAATTTTTATCCTTTATAAAATTTAATCATAAATCGTGATGTTAAATAAATAAGGTAGAAGTAATTATTTTAATATACAGCATGATCGCTATGTACAGTAATAACCGACTAACCATACTACTATCACATCGTAAATTAGGTTTTTAACATTACTAAAATAAATATCGCCAGATAAATTTTTGTAATCTTTCTAAATACCTAGCAAGACTGACTCTCATCCTTTGGCCACCACTTAACTGCACTCCTCTTTCACCAACATAAGTCATATCCCCATTTGGTAATAATTCTAGATCCTGTAATAAAAAAAGTGATATACACTTATTTGGTTCCTGCTCAAAATTTATAGTTTTACTCTAAAAAGAAAAGTGACCATTCAGGAGGTACCAAAAAAATCACCTTTCTGAGAGCGCAAGCATCAATCACTTTATTATACTTGTCTACGTCATATTCTTGGCCAAAAAGTATGTTATTTCTCAGTGAATCAGATATGATCCAAGCTTGCTGAGATGCATAAGCACTTTTTCCTTGAATTCTGAAAAGAGTGCACTTATTAAATGTCAACTCTACCGAAAATATAATGTCACTTTATATCAAAGTGTTTAATTTCATACATTTGATTTGTCTATTTTACAGCTGCATCTTACTGATACGACATGCGGTGTATCGGGAAATTAAATTGAAATATGTGTATGAATGATACTGTAGTAACTTATGTAACTTTTACTACGACATAAAAATTGTTACTCTGCGCAGACGGGCTGTTAAAGACGTTGATTGAAAATTACGAACATTTAAAATTCGTCAGGTTGGAAATAAAGTCACGCCTAAACACTGTAACCATACAAGTTCGCACATCATCCTACCGATAGTTGCCCTTAAGAGTCATTACATCGTGTAAGAGAGTCACTAAAAGTGTTGATTTTCCACTTCCCACTGATCCTACTATTGCACACAATTCGCCTTTCTCAACTTTAAAAGACATATCTTTCAAAATCAGCCTGCTTTCATCTGTCCACCATACGCTTAAATTAGTAACCTCTACTGGCACGTCGTGAATGGTATTATTATTTTCGCTGTAATGTAATGTATCTGGATTATGTAATTCTTCCGACAGCAAATAATCCTATCATAAAATTAGATGCAAGCAAAAGTAAATATATTGGTACAAATTTTACAATTCTATGTAACCAATGGATGTAGATTACCCCGATGCGTTTTAGCGAGACTGAAGTTTCTGACGCATTTTGGATAGATTCAGGAACACAAAAGATTATCATAGTACGAATGCCTTGCAGTAGGGAAAATACAGTAAAAATTTTTACAATGTCCAAACGATTTCCAAATAGACCATACATGACAACAGAAAAGTACAGCATCAACAGTGGTGACACAAATTGCATCGTAACTAAGAAGGCCCTCATATATGCAATCCTTAAAATATGCTTGATTTCCTTCCTTCACAATTAACAAAACAGGATTATTAGAGTTAAGGTAAAATCATGATATTAAAAATAATCAGCGTTCCTATCAAGACATGACCATACTTGCGAATAGCTGTAACAACTTTTGCAAAGGACTTTTCCCAAGCATACATTTTTATAACTCTCATTCCCGTTATGATCTCGTTCATAATCTTAACTCGCTCGTCTGCATATTTCAAATACCGCAATCTGTAAAATCAGAAAAAGTGGAATGCTGTTGTTTAAATTTAATATTTGCAAAATAATTGAAACGATTGATTAAAAGTATCAAATTCATTTTCTCTTAGTTCAGTCAAAATTTAAAAAGGAGAAGGAGTGATGATGACAACAACAACGATCTCTTGTTATTGTACTACTGACCTCTCCGTTGCCAGCAAAGAAGCCACGTAGCTCTTTAAACCTAACACTAGAGCCACCACACTAATGACACCAAAAGTTGCAATACCGATTTGCAACCATAAGATGGCAATCATTGCAATTGCAGTTGCAGTTCCCACCCACAGGAACGTCAAATATTTCGTTACATCATTAAATTTTAGCATGTCATTCGCCAAGATGTTGACTATTCGACCAGTAGTAATTCGCGAAACGGCTCCGCTACTTAATTTCAATGTCTAAGTTTAGACGAAGTCAATACAATTATTTCTTCGATATAGATCGTTTACATGTAACAAGAGAGAATAAGTAATAATTTTTCTATCAATTGTATGGCATTGTTTCAAGTACTATATGTATGCTTAATTTGCATACTTTTCTATATACAGCTGCAGATAGAGCTACTCTTAATTGCCATCCAAATCGGTAGGCTTTAAAGTAGTAAAGTTGTTCAAAGAAAATAATGCCAAATGCGGTTATGCATAAGCCTAAAGCATATAGGTACTGTTCTGTTTTACTAGCTGTAGACTGTGGTAAGAAGCTTTCAACAAGAAGTCCAATCAGAATGGGATAAACAGCTCTACCAGATTGCTATTAATTAATGACGAAAAGAGTTGGAGATATTAGACATATTTAAAATCATAGATGTCCGATACAGTTAATGAATATTATTTGGAGGACGAATATGTTTATCAACATGTGATAAAGCTGTGAACACGTTCTCCATTATATCGCAACAAGACTAAATTTTTAGTACCATAACGTTTCTGCAATCCCATATTTAAGAAAAATTAGCATGACTTACCGCAATTAAGCACGGAATGCTTAGCATAAGATAACCGAAGCCATGCAATCTCAATAACGCTCGAAGTAGACTTGGCTTACTACCAGATTCGCGAAGCTGTAATTCCTTATTCCATTCTCTTTATAATGATATCAGTGGAAATAATCATTTTATGATTTTTACCCGAAATAAACATTCTTTTACTATCGACTCACGACTAAACTTTATTCATACGAAACTAGCGAAGAGACCTAACTTCTTACCTATCAAAATTTTTTAATAAGGTATCGGATTTATCATCAGAGCTGATCTGAAACAAATCTTCCACTTCAAGTCTTCTCTTTGAACTTATTCGAAATAACTTGTTTAACCACCTATATAACGTATTATTTCTTTAATCATCTCATTTCTCTGACAGTCTAGGGTTATACAGTATATGCGAAGTTACAGACCATAGAACAATTCATTAGTAACTTAACGAATAGAGTTAACGATTACTCTCGTTGGCTTTGTTGCAATAGTACTCGATAATACTTCGCAGTGTAACATTCATTTATAATATAACGAGAATACTTTCATTAATCACAATTTTTACCAAAATGAAATCCATCGAGAAAACCAAGGAGAGGTATCAAGTGGAATATCTTGCTCGATTCCCTACAAGAAAAGAGGGTAGCTTAGCTTTTGTTATTCTAATTTGATGACTGTCAAGACATCATGCCAGAATTTATTGCTTTGCACAAACGCAAAATAATCAGTGCTCGATAGAATAAATCGATAGGTTCTTAATGATCTTCACCTACGATATTCTCTCTATTACTGTATACTGTATTACTTCAATGGAAAAACATTTTTGGTTAGGTTATGATTTGAAATTGGCAGAGTTGGCTCGGTTTTGGGTATTGAAATTGTGAATGATTTCTTACCTAAACTAGACCGTGATCAGGTATAATTACAGTTTTCAAAGTCAATAATGTTGCAATTTACAATGCTAATATCAACTATACAGTACAGGGAAGCTGATTGATGGAATAAAACAATTTTGAGTCAATCCGGATAGAAGATTGAACTGTATTGTGTCGTCCTTTTAAATTTAGATTCAATTCTTGTATTTAAACTCACTGGACCCACACTGTCTTCTTCTCTTTCACTTCAAATTATTTTTCCTATTTTCCTTCAAGAAGAGTAATCTAGTTGAATGGCCGTTAGTATTCATGGTATGCTGTTATAGACCGTTATTACGGTTGTTTTCTGTTTATAACGGTACTCATCTTGATAATAGAGTTCATCTCAGTACCCAAGTTCTAGCGAATTCTTCTGATTTGGCTACAAGGAAAAATGCTGCACAAGAAAATCGTAACATATACGCTTGATGTTCGGTCATGATATCTGGTTTATTTGGCAGTGTCACGTTCTGTAATAGTTACATAATTAGTATGTTACCTTCTTTCTATATATGGTTAAATATCACGATGTTATCACGTCAAGCGTATATAGATGTAGTTATGGTACTATATTAAGGTTATCTATATATGTATTCTCATGTTGCCATACTTGGCATGATAGTCTATTTGTAATGACTAAACTAGGGAAACCTTTCTGTTAGTGATGATTTGATCACTCATAGATCACAATAAAGAAAGTATATAAACTCTTCATTTTAACAATAAAGTTAGTTCTTCAACTTAATTACTGGGTCTCCTTGCTGAGTGCAGATCTAGTACTTGTTACAAAATTTGGAAGTTGTAACAGGCAGTAATAGACGGTCTACTTAGCAAGCCAATACACTACTCAAAGTATTAATTATAGCTAATGATTGCAGATTTGATGAGTGCATAACAGCACGGGTTGCAATGCATTTTGTCTAGAGTAAATCCATAAAAGTCTCATAAAGCCTATGTTTATTATTACTTGCAGTGTTGTCAAGGACTACTAGTAGTCCTTGGTAGACATAGTGAACTTAAACAGAGTTGAATGGATAAACTATTGAAAGTCCAAAACCAACTTGGCGAAACATTACTCTATTACATTGTAAATTATTTCCAAACCATTCTACCCAAACATTACTCTGACTTAAAATTATGTTTCTGTTCGTTATTTACTGTGATCTAGTCTTTTTCTTTTGATATAAATTTTTTAACTAGAATATTGCTATCATTTCATGAGGGAACATTGAACAGTAGAAGAGCAGGACGGAATGCCTTGCTAACATAGACAATGCAATTCAGTAATCCTTTTCTTTCTTTGCCCACAGCCATATTTGCTAGCAAATCACCGTACCAAGGCATATTGACATTAATGATATCTCCATTTTTTTTCTGTTGACTACTTTAAAACTGGGACAATCCTTGCAAATAAGATCTTTTTCGGAGTACTTTCACAGCTATTATCGCTGCCATTGGAAATACATTACAGCAGGTAAAAATAGGCTATGATGTATATCGTAGCATTGAGTATGACATACTATCATGCAATCTTTTGCACTCTAGTATCCACAACAGATTGCTTTGAGAATGAATATAGCGAAAGAGCGATTACGTCAGTAGTTGCACCTATTGGAGCCTTCTTCTTAAAGCTAATCACTAGTGGCATTTATAATAATAAAGTAATACATCTAAATTGGTGAAGGAAATCACTGGTCCATCTAGCCTCAGATTGTCCCTTTCATTAAGCACTACTGCCATAGTCATACATTCAACTAAAATCATAACTCGGCAAGACAAAGTATCTTATTCTAAGAAAGAAAACTGCTTCCTTACCTTTGCTTTATCCATGGACTTGTCTTGACCGTGATCCATTTAGAATAAACTATGTTGAATCTAATCCATTTAGAATAAACCATGTTGAATCTAATCCATTTAGGATAAACTATGTTGAATCTGATCTATTTAGAATAAACTATGTTGAATGTAATCCATACGAGACAAATTTGTTCATTCCTTTATAAACAAAGTGCTCTCATTCTAGCCATGATAAAAATAATCAACTCACGCACCTTCCTCTTACTGAACGCCTAGAACACAATGATTTGTAGCTATGAAAGAGTTCCAATCGTCGTTTAATCTGCTGCCTTATGTCACTCTCTTCCTTAACAGCAGTTTACCGCTGGATATCTTCATCCATTGGCTTGGCCAACAAGTTCGATCTCTCTACTCCAAGCTAGACGAATTGCAACCGGCTTAATTGCTAGTCCTTCCAGACTTAAACCAATGGCTTGTATAGGCACATCGGGCTGTCCAAATAGTGAAGATTGGAGTTTTCAAAGGAGCTAATTTGAATCGACAAGGTCAATACTAGGAGTGATGTTAGCAATTTAGTCAATCCCATTAGCTGTATGACCTGTTACAGCACTGTATGTGGAGGCCTTGTACTGGATATACTAACGTCGACTAGTGTTACGGAAGGGATACTGTATACTGTATAGGTTAATTCAATATGGAAGATCTCGCTAAGGATTCCCCCCAATTTTCTCCTGCTTTTATAGGCTTAATAAAGACGTTCAGTCTAGAATTTATGCAGAATTCCATGCTCTTAATAGGGCTGTTGATCTACGATTCAATTCTTTAGCAGTTACTCGATCCAATCATGTCCTGATTTAAGCTAATCTAGCATCACTATTGGAATCAGCCATCGCCAATGTCTGCAAGAATGTCCTTCATTTGCAATAAAGTTTTGCTCTATACACGTTCAATTGGACACGATTCTATTAGATACTGCACTGATTTAAATCGGGATAGGAGTATTATCAGATGGCTCTAGCAATACTACATTAATATCATAAGAAATCATCTTGAATGGCTGTAATAGCGACCACTCAAAATTGAGCTTTTCCAAACACTGCCTGCAACATTTCTTCCGTGCCATATTGCATGTAGTCGTCATATTTTCACTGTACGTGCATCATTAATCTTAAATACTAGACTATCATAATGCATTAATTTCTTAATTGTTATATTAGCGCTCATATTATCATCATTTACATGCATAAACTACCATAACAAGTTATAAATATTCCAAAGTGATTTGGATACTGTACAATAGTCTAGTACATTTAGGTCTACGTATAGCAATTGGTTTGCCTCACGAGTACCAGTATTTTAACTGACAATAGATATATAATATATAATTGAATATATAATTGAAACACATATGCATGTTATATGTTATATCATCTTTTCGATAGAGCGGATTTCTTAAATCATAGCACGGACATGTTATATCCCATTCTTGTTCATTTACTTCGCTTATATTATAGATTCTTCTCGCTGCTTTGTACAATATAGTCGTGTGGTATAACTATACTTTGATCTTCCTTATTATGATTATATAGACAAGCTTGTATGTTTAACGTACAATGTATAATATACTCATAGTGTCAATATAAACTCGGTCAACTTTTCTTTCTGATTGCTATTTATTTTATCAGCCAAAAATAATTAAAAGATTGTGATCAATAAAGTCAAATCATATCTTAGACTATATCTTTCAAAGAAAGTAATCGTGTTGATGTTTAAGGAATCATCAGGCCATCAAATGCAATTTGAAATAGATATTAAGTATCGTATTTTGATATCAAACATTTTAAATTGAGATAAATATCATACGTACTTATACAATTGTAGAGTAATAAATAGAGAGAGCCGTGATCTCATTGCCAAGATTATGATCGCGTCATCATGATGACGATACCACGTTTTTAAATTAGAATATTTAACATGAAATAAATAAGCGATTTATTTAAAATAAAAAAATTATTAGAGATAACACCGCGGCTTCTTTACTAACTACTAGCCTCATCGATTACAATGTGCTTATAAGACATTAACAGTTAAACATTAGCCTCGTAGGCAACATATGTATCCGCCTAGAAATATATATAAAAACGTTTATTAATTTAACTGACATAAAAATAATATATATTCTCAAAGTATATTCCTATTTCTAGTAATTTTACCTGTCGTCGATCGCCTTTAAATGAAATATCCGTTTCTAAATTAATTTCCGCTATATCTGCTTTATCTGATCTTGCAAATACCTCTGGATGGTTATAATGATACTCAGCTTGTACACGTAAATTTTTACTTTCTTCAATACCCGTCTCGGCTACTAACTTACTGAAATAGCTATCTAATTCTAATAGTTTATGAGGTGAGTCGAATTCGACAAGTTTTCCTGCATCTAACACCTTTTCCATAATTTTTAAAATACGTAAATTAGTATATTTCATTACTTTATATAATAAGCGATTTACTGTACTAAATCCTACTTACCATAACTCGATCACAATCTATTATAGTACTTATACGATGAGCGATAACTAGTACAGTGCACTCAATAAATTGTTTACGAATTGTCCGTTGGATAATAGCGTCAGTTCTAATTCGATTAATCAAAAAATAAATACTTTACAGTTTTATACTACAATACTCGACAAGTCCGTAAAGTTTAAAATAATTTCCAAATTACGCTTATACGAGTAAATAATATACACTAACAATAATGCGTAAATCCAGATGATATAAATAATTTGTTAACTAACTTCAGATCGACATTAGCAGTTGCTTCATCGATACATAGTATACGATTTTTCTTAAGGAGCGCCCTCGCTAGGCACAATAATTGACGTTGGCCTACACTAAAGTTTGTTCCAAATTCAGATACTTCACTATCTAATTTGTCGGGTAATTGGATAACATAATTCTCCATTTCGACCTATAAATTACAAAATATTTATAGTTACGGTGTAAACTTTACTAGACTCTTACAGTATGATCGATCTTTATATCTTAATATATCTAACACTTGTATACTAATACTAATACTAAAATATTCTTTGTGTAAATACGAATACAGATAGTATCACTAACCTCCTTTAACGCTTTCCATAACTCTTCATCGTTATAACAATTAAAAGGGTCTAAATTCTTTCTGATAGTACCGATGAATAATACCGGATCCTAAATAATTTTATAAAAATTTAGTTAAAATTTAAAGTTTAAATCTTTTTACTAGGGTATGTCCACGTTCTTTCTATCAGTACTAACTTTTATAAACTCTTTCTTTAGTAATAAGATATAAAATGTAAAATTTTACTACTGTATACCTGCGGTATAACCGATAATGAGCTTCGTAAACAATGTAATCCGATGTTATTAATTACAACATCATCTATTGAAATTTGTCCTGTAGGCTCGGCTAATCTGAACATAGATGCTAGAAATGATGATTTGCCAGCACCGGTGCGTCCAACAATTCCTATCTATATACCGTAAATTATAAACGAAAATACAATTACTTTATCGTGCTAATTTTCTATACACACAAGATCGATAATAACTAATTTAATATAGAGAGAGTTAATAAAATCTCAATCACGAGTCAGCAAATCTATAACAGTAGCGAATGTGAGATATTGTAATATACTGTAAACGAGTACATACAAAATTAATAGTCTTTCTTACAAGAGTAAAATAAACAAGAAGTTATCACGTAGTCGTTATTACTTTCTCAAACTTTTTGATTTCGCATGTAATAGATTGAAGAACATAAGGCAAGGTTTTGTAATGAGTAAAACAGACGTTATTAAATTTAATAGTGCCAAGTTGAGGCCATTTTGTAGGAGGATCGATTTCTTTATAGAACTTATTTTCTTTTTGTAATTTAGTATACTCATCCACACGTTCAACTGATGTCATCTATAATTAATAATTAGTTAATTAATTATTATAGTATGTGGTTTAATAAATTACCAAACAGATCAGATATATTCGCTTTCTCAATAACTAAATAGTTTACAATAAACGTTAAATACGTATATCATACTAATATAATAGTAATCAATTTAAATTAGTTATTTCTATATACCTGATTTTCTAATTCAGAGCTTAGTCTCACTACCCAGTCTAATAACCCCAGCATGTCTACGGCATAACTTAAAAGTAATGCTGATAATCCAGGATTGATATCTAGTACAAAATAAAATTTCTCATGCTGTATCAGATATCATAACAGAATATCATTCGAAATTGTGCCACAAAATTCAATATCCACGTAAGTACATTATACATACATCCTTCAGGTAATAGAACCAGACTGAATGAAAGACCTGCTACGAGAAATGAACACAAGAAATCGATGTGGAATGCATTCCATCGAATTGAAGCAATAAATACGATCCATGATTGTGTATGCATATCGAGATATTCTTTAAATGTCTCTAAAAATCTCGAACTTGCACCGTAAGCTCTTACAGTAGTTAGGCCTTGCAGTGTAGTAGACATATGGCTATATAACGGACTACTTCCTATTTATAATAATATCGAGTATATAAGCCATGTAAAATATACTAAAAGATTCTATCTAACTAAAACAAATGATTATTATATTGTAAATTTCAAAATTAAAGATTAAATCTTAATCTTGATATTTGTTACTGACCTGCAGCCTCTAAGCGTTTGACATCTCTTGAAAGATTCAAATAATATTTTCTTAAAAATATTAATAACACTGATATTATCGTTATCGGAATTAACATCCATGGATTTACAATCGCGATAGTCAAAACTTGTCCAATGCAGACCAAGATACACTAATAATATATAATTTGGAGAAGTTAATATTATAACTTGCCATAAATGAGCAAACAGAATGAGAAATGCTGTAACTTAATCAATTTTGCAGCGATTAAAAGAATCGTTTTAAAAACATCTTGAAATAAACATCGATAATATGTTGTAATTAATCTTCAAACCTGAACTGTGAATACCAAATTATAACCGATATTATCATCCATCTGTGCACAATCTTTCGAAAATCTATTTAAGATTCTTCCTAAATAGAGAAGCAATACGTACTGTAAACTCGATATTGTATAGCCATATCATCGGTTATAACAATCATAATACGTACACGTATTATAGTTAAAACACAGCTATAATGTAAAAAGTAATTTTATGACTCAACTATATGTCATAAGACATAAGACGATCTTATACAACTAATTCAGTTTTGTATATATATATATATATATATTAACATAACTATCTAGAAATAAATTTGGGTTTAATTACCTGACGGATAAGTGTCGAAAATATATATGATAGTTTCTAATAGCGAATGAAATAATTTACTTTCTAGACGTTTAGACGCTCTTACTGCCATTGCACCCAAAACCCATGAACATATCATAACCAATAAGAAACAAATCCCTAATTGTCCCGCGTATATAGCTATTACATCGGCATTCGAGAGGTCATACATAATTACAGTGTTTAATTCCACTGAACTATTACGCGAAAGAGATATATTTTGATATGCATAAGACCACTGTGAAAACCACCAGTCAGCAACATTAAAGGATGCTTGAGAAGCTACAAATAGTATACAGGCAAAAACTGAACGAGTAGGACCGAATGCTGATGTAAAATACTTAATATAAACTCTCCAAGGTATACTGCCTCTATTACGGTTTTCCTCTTCGATAACTCCACCGTTATTATTTTCTATCTATTATTATGTAGGAGTATAATGTAAATATTTCAGACAGTAAATAAGTGATTATTAACAATCTGTACATAATATTGAATAATCGATTAAATTTATTTATTATCAGTTATATAGTATAAGTCATTTACAGTACCTTATTTTGTGTAATCGTACTTTCTGCTAATTCGTTATTAAACTCTGCGATGCCAGTATCTAACCTACGATTACAATATATTTATTTGTAAACAATAATATCTTTCTTCAATACTATAAACTTTATAATTTATAGTTAAACAAGCGATTACAATGTATATTATCCATTTTAGTATATTATCTTGCTTTAAGCTGATTTAACTTACTTAGATGTTTGGCAATCGCCATCTACTGTTTTTAATGACTGCTGTTGTGTAGTCATCGAAAATACATCAGAGTTTATTTGTAGATTTTGGAAAGTATCTATTTTATCGATTCTTCCGTCTTTTAAAACGACTATCTTATCTGCAGATCTTAGATGATGTAGTTGATGAGTGACTAATACGCGCGTCTTATTGCTTAAATAGCCACAAATGCATCTATATAGATAAATGTGTAAATACAATATATATAGATTACTCGAGTATAAGGATAAATAATTCTTCTTCCAAAATCAAGTCTGAAGTTATTGAAATACATATCAAGACTTCGTTACCCATACCTTTGATAAATATGTTTACCAACATCTGCGTCTACAGCACTTAGAGGGTCGTCCAGTAAGTATATATCAGCATTATAATATACAGCTCTATCGTAAATTAATGTAAACGTATTATTATGAATTATATGTACTTGTACTAGCATCAATATCAATATCACAACATCAATTTATAATACTTTTACAATTAGAATGAACAATTAATGTATTCTACTAAAATATATACCCAAGTGTTTATTTAATAATTATAAATAACGATAATCAGGTACTAACGCCTAAACTAACAATTATAAATAGTCTTCGAATTACCTCGCAAGATTAACTCTCATCCTCTGACCGCCACTTAATTGTACTCCTCTTTCGCCAACAAACGTCATATCGCCATTAGGTAATAAATCTAAATCCTAAATTTTTATAAGTATACACATTCGATTGATTTATATATCTTACAGTTGTAAACTAGCTCAAATTTTTTATTATTAAACTAATTACAACGAGAGAAATACTTTACATGAAAATATACCTTTCTTAGAGCACAAGCATCAATCACTTCATTATACTTCGCGTCATCATATTCCAAGCCAAATAGAATGTTATTTCTTAATGTATCTGAAACAATCCACGCTTGTTGAGAAGCGTAAGCAATTTTTCCTCTAACCCTAGAAAAATATTTAATGAAGTCTGTTAGCATAGACAAATTTACAAATATTGCACGATAACATTGTGTTAGCGAAACCCATCTATCAAAATGTTATATTTTGTATCTCTATAATATCCAATAACGAAATATATAGGTTATATATATATATATATATATAAGTTACCGGTAATTTGCGAAATCAAGAATATATTATAATTATCTGTATTACTAATGTGACTTTCAAACAATTATCGCTTATCTTATTTAAAAACATCGCGAAAGCTGTCATCAATAATCATACACGAGCATAATCGTATTTAATTGTGTAAAATAAAAATCAAATAAAATCGTACCTATAATGACCACTAAATGTAGTCACATCATTCAACAGTGTCACTAAAAGTGTAGATTTTCCGCTTCCTACTGGTCCGACTACGGCACATAATTCGTTTTCTTTAACCATAAAAGATATATCTTTTAAAACTGGTCTATTCTCGTCCGACCACCAGATCGATAGATTATTGACTTCTACAGGTTCTTTATTATTCATATCGTAATTTTTATCTAACTGAACTAAGCTAATATTAGGTAATTCTTCAGCTAGTAAATAGTCCTACAGATACGAATATAATAAATAAATAAATAATCAGTAATTTCAATTCTTTGAAGTTAAAAACGTTCAGGCTCTAAACATTGCAATAAATAAGCAGTTATCGACCTGGATACGTTTTAGTGAAACTGAAGTTTCTGATATATTTTGAATAGCTTCCGGTATGCAAAACATAAAGATCAATCGAATGCCTAATAGTAACGTGAAGACTGTAAAAATTCTAGCAAGATCCAACGGATTTCCAAATAGACCATAAATCACAACAGAACAGAATAACATCAGTCTAAGTGATATGAATTGCATTGCAGCATGAAAAGCCCTCATATAAGCGATCCTTAACGCGTGTTTGATTTCTTTCCTTTAATGAAAATGAAAATATAATCAATCCAGATTATCTATTAATACGTAAATAAGTGTTCGAGTATTGTAAATGAGTCAAAAATCTAAGAGTTATAACATAGAAGAATTGATTTGAAAATAAATATCACTAAAAGTATTTCATTGTATAAATACTTTGTTACATTGATTACTACGATTATATTACTGTACCCTCGAACATGGGTGACAATCTTGGAAAACGGTTTCTCCCAAGCATACATTTTGATAACTCTCATCCCCGTTATAATTTCATTCATGATTTTAATTCGCTCGTCTGCATAGCGTAAATAGCGTAATCTATGTGTATATAAATTAATAAGCATATATCGAAAATCACAAATTATCTGTTCTATTATTTCTAATAACTAGTACGACGACAAATAACGACGATGTTAAATACTCTTTAGACTACGTCTTCTCGAATATTCTATATTATATAATAAGTGTATGAATATTAATCTAGTAAACAGTATTATTAACCTCTCTTTTGCTAGCAATGATGCTATATAAGTCTTTAGAGCTAAGATGAAAATTAACGCTATAATTACGCCAAGAGCTGCAAAACCGACTTGTAACCATAACACAACTATCATAGCAATTCCAACTAATGTTCCAATCCATAAATAATGTAAGTATTTGGTAACATCGTTAAATTTCAGCATATCATTAGCCAGTATATTGACAATTCGACCGATTGTGATCTGTGATACAGCTCCGCTACTTAGATTTAGCGTCTATTCAATGAAATAGAAATGTTTATACTTTTACGTAAGAATGGAGATTTTTTTCAACTTTGGATAATTGGCAGTATTAAATTCGTCATCTAGAGTATGTACGTTGATTGTATGTTTATTTTACCTTTCTATATACAGCTGCAGATAGAACAGTTCTTAATTGAGAGCCAACTCGGTAAGCACTAAAATAAGCCGGTTGTTCACAGAAAACGATTATGAACATCGACAATGATAAACCAAGAGCATAAAGATATCCTTGAGTTTTATCAGCAGTCGATTGAGGCGAAAAGCACCCAACAAGGAGTCCAATAAATATAGGATAGACGGTCCTACTACATAACTAGAGAATATGTGTTGTACATATAGTTAATAGTAAGTAAGTACTTATAATCGTAGTAACGATTTAACTTTGAATTAATATATCCAGGGCTAGCTTGTCTAAATACATGTGGATTCTTAAGAATTTATTTTTCAATTTTTGTAACCAAATTAATAACCACAATCATGATAAGAATTATCATTTACCCCAATAAGACACGGAATACCAATTAGAAGATAGCTAAAACCAAAAATTCTGAACAACGCTCGAGTTAAACTTGGTCTACCGCCATTATCTCGAACTTTTAATTCTTTATCCCATTCCCTATTACGGCCATTAAAGAATTAGATGATAACGTTTAGCAATCTTAGATCACATCAATTATCTGATTCTATGCTTAATGGCGTTATTATAATAGGCTCTGTTAATTACCTTACCTGTCAAATTTCTTTAATAGTGCGTCCGATTTATCGGCATCACTTAACTGATACAGATCTTCTAATTCAAGTCGCCTCTTTGCACTAATTTGAAATAATTTATTTAACCACCTATATCGCAATCAAAGTATAAAATCTGTATCAATGCGAAGACAAAATTACTCTACACAATCGAAGATGTATGTAGTTCTCATTTGATAGATAGTTTAATACGGTGAAAACGGTTAACTTTTAATCACAATATTTAAATAGATACATATCACGAGATTAATTTTAAATTCTTGCATTAGTGTCACTGTACTATAGTTCTATCCTGTATGATATGTATAAATTACTATTATTATACGCATATTGAATTTCCTAAAATATATAGTTACAAGTGACGGTATTGGTCCTATGAATAAATATAATAAATGATCTGGAAGATGACTAACCAAAAAGAAATCACACGAGTAAACCAGCTGTCAGTATCTAGTGGAATCCTTTTATAAGCTTTCTATTGGTAGTAAAATAAGGACATATTTCAATACAGGATTTATGGCAGTTTCTTAAGTTTACTCACTTAATTAGTCAATCAA